TCAGGGTTGATTTCTTTTAGGATTGACTGATTTGATCTTCTTGCAGTCCAAGGGACTCTCAAGAGTCTTCTCCAACACCATAGTTCAAAAGAATCTATTATTCGGCGCTTGGCCTTCCTTATAGTCCCAAGGAGCAGGCATCTTTTAATCTCATGGCTGCTGTCACAGTCTGCGGTGATCTGGGATCCCAGGAACGTGAAGTCTGTCACTACTTCCATGACTTCCCCTTCTATTTGCCAAGGAGTGATGGGGCCGGATGCCATGATCTTAGTTTTTTTGATGTTGAGCTTCAAGCCCACTTTTGCGCTCTCCTCTTTTACCCTGAGCAAGAGGCTCTTAAGGTCCTCTTCACTTTCTGCCATTAGAATGGTATTGTCTGCATATTTGAGGTTGTTGATCTTTTCCTCAGCAATCTTAATTCCCGCTTGTGATTCATCCAGGCCAGCATTTCGCATGATGTACTCTACATATATATTAAATAAGCAAGGTGACAATAGACATCCTTGTCGTACTCCTTTTCCTATGCTAAACCAATCAGTTGTTCCATATCTGGTTCTAACTGTCGCTTCTTGGCCCTTATACAGATTTCTCAAGAGACATGTGAGGTGGTCTGGTACTCCCATCTCTTTAAGGACCTGCCATAGTTTGTTGTGATCCACACAGTCAAAGGCTTTAACATAGTCAATGAAGCAGAAGTAGATGTTTTTCTGGTACTCTCTTGCTTTCTCCATCATCCAGCGAATGTTGGCAATTTGATCTCTAGTTCCTCTACCTCTTCGAAACCCAGCAAACTGTAGAACTACCCAAAGGCTATCTAGTTGCAAGACTGCATACAGTCACTTTTGGCAAGAGAAAACACATGGACACAAAAAGCCACGTTATGACAAGTCAGAGCCTTGGTCCTGCAAGGTCAGTATTGTGTACTGTGACTGGCAGCAACTCTCCAGAGTTTCTGGCAGACAGAAATCTTTCACATTACGTACTATCTGACCCTTTTTAACTAGAGGTGACAGGACTGAGCCTGGGATCTGCATGCTGAGCAGATGCTATACTACCGAGCTATGCCATCCACCCCCTGTGCCGGATCTCGGAGACACTGGCAGCCCCAAAAATACAATGCTGCGTTGCTGGAGCTACAGCCGCAGCTCCATTCAGCCTATCAGTCTTAAAAGCAGGTTATCAGGGATTCTTCTCAATGCTGGGGAAGGGAGGGATTAAATGTAGAACCCCAGAACTGGTTTCTGGCTGCCAGAGCCCAGCACACTCATTTACAGGGGCTCACTCAGTCATACCCATTACCTTTCTGAATCTGGCCTTTCTTCTACTCCAGAGATCAAGGCAATAAACACACTAAACAATGATTACTTGCCTTATCAGTATAAAAGGCATTAACCTCACCTGGGATTCAAGTGAAATAACACCTCTTTTATTTAGCCTGTAATTCTTTCACCTAAGCATGCTTAGAGGCTGTAAAGCCTACATTACAATTGATTCACTATCCTTTACCCTAAAGAGAAGAATATAGATTTCCTCCTGCATCATAAAGAAGCAGCACACAGAACATTCAAGGGCACCTACAGGGAGAGCTGAACCCAGAAAGCTACATCTGCTCCTGGTCTTGGACTTAAAGGCTCCCAGGGCTGAGGTGGGCAGCCTTTGCTCTCTGGGCGCCAATCTCTTCAGCACCTGCCTGAGACTTGGGGATCGTGGATACAAGACAAGCAGTAGGGACTGTTCCTTGGCTGTGCATGCACAGCTCCCTGTAGGTGGGGGAGAAAGCGCAGGGCTCTTTTTGTAGCAGGAACTCCTTTGCATATTAGGCGACACACCCCTGACGCAGCCAAGAGCTTACAGTATCCCCTGTAAGAAGAGCTCTGTAAGCTCTTGGAGGATTGGCTAAATTAGTGTGTGTTGCCTAATATGCAAAGGAGTTCCTGCTACAAAAAGAACCATCGCAGAACCACCAAATGAGTAGGTCTAAGCCAGACAGAGAGACAGGGCCATATGCACAGCCAAAAACATTGCTCCTAATCAGAAGAGGACGATTGCTCCCTACCACAGGCAATCAGAAAAATGGCTAATTAGAAGCCTTATCCTAACAAATGTATAGTGTTACCTTGGTTTCAAAACAGAAGGCGATCACAAATATGGATGGTGAAAGCCAAGGTAGGTAATCTCTGACCTTGAATCAGGTCTGAATTAGCCCCTATGCTAAGTAAGATGCAGAGCCAAATTCCAGGGATAGCTTATTTATCTGGGAACTACTAACTGTACCAGGGGGATGTGTGTGTGGGGGGGAGGCTTGTTAAAAGCTGCCTCATTTACAAACTAAAATTTATTTTGGCCCAGCAGCTTTTGAGAACCAATTTGGTTTGGAAAGCAGCTCGGGGTTGTTGTTTTTTTGGATCCTGGCCTACGATCACTAACTTGATTGACTCACTTATCTGAACACCACACGTCTCTTGGCTTGATAAAGCAGCACCCATCAGTGCAAAGCGTCACCATTATGGCCATCAAGGTAGGCATATACGATGCCCAATAGTAAGGATGAAACACCCTGCATCAGTCATGAAGGCACACAGTCCAGGCCACCCATAGATAAGGGAGTGTCTTCTACATATTTATGGCATTCAGGAGTGTCTTCTGCATATTTATGGCAGTCAGTAGCACCTTAGCAACTGACTAGATTTTCTGGGTATAAGCTTTCAAGAGTCAAATCTCCCTGACTCTCAAAAGCTTATACCCACCCACCCCAAATCACGTTGGTCTCCAAGGTGCTACTGGATTTGAATCCAAAACTTTCCAAGTTAACAAAAAGGAGAGGGGAAAGCCCAAATTATTTGAGAGCTGAATATACACCAGAAGACACAGAAAATAGAGAACATCTGAGAGTCAGTTAAAGACAAAATGGGAGTGGGGAGAGAACTGGCCTCCATGTGCCCCTGAAACCTCGTGGAATCCTAGAAGAGTTGATTTGGGTGTGTAGGGTTGGGATTTCCAAACTGTGCCATCCTTCCAGTTCCTTATGTCCTCCTAGCATGTAATCTTAGAGCCCAGGATTAGAGAAATCTCAACCATTATGTCACCCTACCTCCTAAATATTTTACAGTGGTCCCTTGGAATCCAAAATTACTTTTCCAATAGCAGAAAGCAGCCCTGGGCACCAATAAGCTGTTGCAACCAGCCTTTCACCAATGTAAGAAGAAAATCTATGAAAAAGGGGGAAACCTTGCAGCACATACATGAAAGGAAAAGCTGAAGAGTCACCATCTGAGCTGGAGAACAGATCAGGCAACTAGGCTGCAGCAGCCCCCAAGTGAGTTTTATAACTGGCACAGAGATTGGTGCTCCTACAAGCACCAGCTAAATGGCTACTTTATAGTTAGCTATTTCAGAAGGTAGAGAGAGTGTTTTGCACAGTCATCTTGACTTCTCCTTGGCCCACAGGAACCATCTCCTGCATCCACCAGAAAGCTTCCTATTAAAATTCCAGCAGGACCCAGTGATTTGCCCTTGTGCACTCTCTTGAAACATTGTAGGGATTCACACACCCCTTAACTACATATCCTCTTGCTTATCATAGGGGAAATGAAGCTTTGGATTTAAAAATACTACAACTGTTACATAATCTAGTGGGAAATCATGAGACACGATTTTTTCATCTCATCAGTTTGCAATTAACCTCAAGCCAACAGCTTCCCTTTAAAAAATCTTATTTTAGAAACACTCTGTGTCAAAGTGCATCACTCACATAAATGCACTGCATTTAAGTTTGCAAATAGGGGGACATATAAATATTTAAACGCTTAGCTACACGAAACTGCACAACTGTTTTTAAAAGTGCCTTTTAACACCACATCACAGCAGAAGTACAGAGGTGCTTTCTACAAAACAAGCAAACACTGACATTATTTTACAAAGTGTACACTACTTTCTTTTTATTAAAGTAGTATCCAAGACAGTTTACATAAGATGCTTCAACTCAACACAAACGCCAAACTAAACCATCACACCAACCCAGCACCCAATAGACACACTGCACGTTGCAGGTTAGCTAGAACCAGCCTGTAATGAAGGGCCACCCAAGGCTTCTGGAACAGGAGTAACAGCAGTTTTACTGAAGTGCATAAAAAGTTTTTAAAAGGCAGTAGGCAAACAAGCATAAGGAAGATGTTCCCTAAACTAGGGAAGACCTGTCCCTGGTAGCACCCACCTGGCCTCACACACAGGGGGGCTCTAGGATGAACACTTCAGCCAGTTATCTAAACTAAGAAGCAAGTTCGTAGGAGAATGGAGATCCATCTCCTACTTAAGTCCCAGGCCATTCAGGGTTTTCCAAATCAAAGCCAACACTTCCAACTGGGCTCAGAAACAAACCGGAAGCAGCCTCACACATAACACATTTCAATTTCCATCCCACCATAACACCTCATAAATCTGACCCCAATCAGGCACAAACCTATAAGTCTCCTCTCCCTTCCCACCACTGTCATTTCCAGTCCAAATTGAGACAGCAAGTTCCTTGAAACAGTGACCTCTTTTCTTTAGCTCAGGCATCACATTATGCAACATATAAATTAATAAAACTTGAATAATAAGTAGCATTTTATTAGTAGCCACCCTGGCAGCACATCATACACAAACCCCAAAGCCAGACTGCACCCCCAGACCCAGAGATTCAAGAGCATCCACCATGTGAGGGGGACCACAGTCCACTTTCCAAACTGCAGTAATTCAGTCCGGGTGGGGGCAGATTCCAGACAAACTATGCCCCCCCCCCCCCCACAACCTTTGGAGGCGGAGATTTGGATGCCAACATACCCTCCCCCCCACTGGAGGCCACCACCGGCCAATCGCATCACCCGGTTTCCTCGGGAGAAGCTGATCCAATACGCAAAGGCCTCCCAGAAGCCCCCCTCTTTCAGCCAATCACGGAGGAAGATACAGAGCGGCCCTCCCTTTCCCCCTCTCTTTACAACGAGCGCCTTCTCGGTCCTCACCGTCGCCTCAGCCGCGTTCGCTGCCACCCAGCCCGCAGGCGAGGCGCTGCCGACGCCGCAGAGGACCGGCCAAGCCGCCTCTCCTCCCCGTCTTTCCCTGCGGCGACGGCTGCAGCGGCTGCGGGAGCTTTTCAAAAGTCCTCCCGAGTCCGGAATCGGGAGTCCCGCCCCCTTTTCTTTTCGCCCCGCCCTCTTGCGTCACCGACATGACGGGCTCGGGTTCTGCTGCGCTTGCGCAAGCGTGGAGCAGGTGGAGCAAGAATGGAAAGCCTAGAGGGGGAGCGAGCTGGAGTCCCTCCCCCATCCCCAACCGGTGCATTTCGGGGGGAGGGGCAGGGGGAGGATAGTACTTGCGGAACTTTTGAACTAAACTTGCCATTTTTGCTGTATGAGGCGTTGCAGCTCAGGGACTGGGTGCAGAAAGGCCAGGGTTGAGCGCCGGTACTTGGCATAGACGTTCTCTGGGACAGGGACTAGAACAGCCATTCTCTGGAGGACCACTGCTAGTTGGAGTAGGTGGACGGTTGGTCCAACTCGGTAAAAAGCAACGTCCTGTTTTGGCATGCAGTAGGCTCAAGTTTCAGTTCTTGGCAACTTTAGCTAAGGGGTTTCAGGGAGAGCTGAGACCCTGAATGGACCACTCACTTCATGTGTTCATAGCTCAGTGGTAGAGCACCTGCTTTGCATAGGCAGCAGGTCCCAGTTATGGAACCTTGTTAAAATATCTCAAGTAGCACCGCTGGGAGAAACTTCTGCCTGGTCACCATAGACAAGTATGGCCTATCAGAGCTGACATTGCTAAATGCCTTGTTAGTGGTAGCATGTCATCAGAGACTCTAGTCCACACCAGTGTTTGTTTGTTTGTTTGATGGGAGTTTTTCCCAAGTCATAGTTGTGCATGCAAGATTGCAGCCTTAGACTTAGCTGCAGTGATTTATTTATGTAAAGCATTTCTGTCCCACCTCAGACTAAAGGTAGATACTGTAGAGCTACCGCAGCTGCTTTTGTACCATTTTTAACAGGAACATAAAGGATCCACGTAATGTAGGCTAGGACTGAGGATCCAGGTTCAAATACCTGCTTGCCATGAAACTCAATAGGTGATTCTCATCTACCTTACAAGTTTGTCAAGATAAAATAGAGGAAAGAATCATATACTACCTACGTTGGAAATGTAAATAAATATCTTTTGGGTCATAAATGTTATCTCTGTACATCAGTAGCCGCTTGTCTGACCTGATCACAACCTCTCCAACCAAGTCCAGTATGTCACTTGTCTGACCACAACCTCTCCAACCAAGTCCAGTATGTTCTCCAGTTAAATATCCCACCAGCCTCTAGGTTTGGTTTTCAATTGTTTATTCACACAGTTTCCCCTCACTTTTTCTTTGGAACTCCAAAGGAGCTAACAAAGTAAGTAAGTGGATTAAGAAAAACCTAGTACAAAATCCAAAGCTGTCTCTAAAATCCTTATTAACAGAAATACACGAGACAGGGTTTTTTTTTAATTGGCAGGCTTGGCTCTGAAGAAAACATCACCTGGGCAGTCTGAACCAAGCTGGCCCATCTTCTTGACCTGTCAGATCTTATGAGCAAAAAGCAGCTGCAGTAGGTAAGAATTCCCCCATCTCTGATGGGTATCTCAACAATAGGAGCTGCGTTTTGTGGCTCTCAACTGGATGAAGGTGTCAGTATGTGGTTTTTGGGGCTAGGTGCTTGGTCATCCCATGCTTTGCCTTTCTAGAATTCAGCATTGTGAAGGCACCCAGAGCCACCTAATATGGTCATTGCTAATTCTATCCTGCAAAAGGTCAAAGCAGAGCTAATTGTAAAACCAAATGCAGTTTTTAGCCTAGGGCTGCGTTAAAAAAAACCCAGGAGATGAGCTTTGCATATTGGTTTTTAAAAGTTCACTCTGCACAAAATGGAATTGATCCCTACATAATGAATCTGAAGAGACAGCTGAGATTCAAAGGGAGGCAAAAGAAAGATGGTGAGATGAGAGAAGGTTGCTGCTGGCAGGGGAGAGAGAGAGGAAGTAACTGCCTAACATTTGCTTAAAGGGAGGAGAGGTCAAGCCTGAATGACTCATGAGCCTTGAGTAGCCTGACAATGAAATAGATCAAGATGGGTAGCCGTGTTAGTCTCTGTCTGCAGCAGCAGAAAAGAATGAGTCCAGTAGCATCTTACAGACTAACAAAATTTGTGTCATGGTGACTTTTATGAGTCACTGTTCACTTCTTCAGATTCTTCAGATAATATCTGAAGAAGCGAGCAATGACTCAAGAAAGCTCATACACTGCCACAAATGTTGTTAGTTTTTAAGGTGCTACTGGATTCTTTCTGCTGACAATGAAATATGTGGCTGCAGTGGCATGCTGCCCACAATCCATCTAAGCAGGGAAGAAAATAGCTGAAAGGAAATTCTCCAGTTTAATAGTTCATTGACGAAAAGCAAGTTGTGTATTTGGCATGGACAAAATAGGAAAAAAAACACCAATGTGACACGGTCAGATTGCCTGTTGACTCTGAAAGCTTTTTGTTTTTCCCTGGAACCCTGCTATGGCAAAGTTGTTTGAGCTGTACAATATATTCATACATGTAAGATTAAACTCTCAGACTTTTTGATACCTCAGAACTAAAGAGTGGAAGCAGTCCTTTAAGTTTAAGCCCTGGTGAAATAAACAGATCATCTTCTAGCACAGTGTCCTGTCTTATTTGCAGCACCATAAAATCTGGGTTATGCCAGGAAGCATATTTAGATACCATGGTCATTCCCAGACCTAGCACAATTGGAGCCTTTGAAGAAGAATTTGAAGGCCAAAGAAATCAGATGGTCTCAGGGAAGCAGTTCTCGGCAAAAACAGTGACATGGAGGAACACACAATGGAGACTGAGAGCAAACCAGATGATCTTGGAGTGATGAGGCAGTACAAGAGTAAAGGCTTCAGGGCAGGAAGTGGAAAGAAAAGTGGGAGCTGAACTGGAGAGACCAGAAAAGCTTTGATTTATTTATTTCCACTCTTTATAGTTCTCCTTTCTCGCTGAAACTCAAGTCTAATTATACAATACGATCAAGAAGATGAGACATCCAATAAACAGTGCAATAGGGCTTGGATTGCAGTAATCTGCAACAAGCAAAAATCTGAAACAGAGCTGAAAGAGCACAAGCATTTAAGCATGGCATGCTAAACGATGCAGAAATTACACAGGAGGAACATACCTACAGCAACAGACAGTACACAGTAGTCCACAGTCCCTACCCCTTTACCAAAGTATGCTTCTGAACTATTTCATTATGATGCAGCCCTATTCAGTGGCATACCTAATCTATATGGCACCCAGGGCAAGTAATTTTTTAGCACTTTTTTTTTTGCCATCAAATCACAGCTGACTTATGGCGATGCTGTAGAGGCAAGAGATGTTCAGAGGTGGTTTGCCATTGCCTGTCTCTGCATCAGCCCTGCTTAGCTTCTGAGATCTGATGAGATCAGGTTAGGCTGGGGCTATCCAGGTCAGGGCCTCTCTCCTCTATATGACAAAGTTATTTTCAGTAATAATCATAAAATAAAATGAATAATAATAATGGCCATAAAATCGATTCAGGTGGGTAGCCATATTGGTCTGAAGCAGCAGAACAAAACAAAATTTTGTCTTAAAGGTGCCACTGGACCCAATGGCCAAAAAAGAAATACAGACAGTTAAAAAAATATTTAACTTCATATTTGTAATCATGCCAGTAAAAAAAAAAATTCAAATTCCAACATGCTATTCCATCACAAGAGCAAGTGCAGTGTAGTGGTTAAAGTATCAGACTAGGATCTGGGAAATCCAGGTTTGAATCGCTACTTGCTGGGTGACCTTGGGCCAGTCACATTACTCTCAGCCTAGCCCTGACCTGGATAGCCCCAGGATAGCCTGATCTCAGTAGATCTTAGAAGCTAAAATAGGGCTGATGTGCAGGCAGGTAATGGCATACCACCTCTGAAGGTCTTTTGCCTTGAAAACCCTACAAAGTCGCCATAAGGCAGCTGTGACTTGATGGCAAAAAAATAAAATTCCATCACACCACTCGTGTTCTGAGGACTTCTTGGGAGGACTTCTTGGACCACTTGGGAGGACTTCTGTTCTCCATTTTGAAGCCCAAGAGCTGACCAACCAAAACATCTAAGGCATTTTTGAGAGCTAGGAGTCTGCCTTTGTACTAACATTTACTAACACTAGCCCGAGCATCACAAAATAGTGATCGTAAGCATCACCAGACTGGGTGTTAAGAAACACACTACCCCCCCAAAGAAGGTGCCCCCATCCTTTGTTTCCAAAGGACTAAAATCAAACCAGAAAATCTCTGCAGTAGAAACTGAAGGGTGTGGCATTTTTGCAAGCCCAGCAAAACCAGTGCAATGTACAGTGCTCAGCAAACCCAGTGCCACTGTAACAATGCCAGCTGATGTCAAGCACAGAATCACAGTTCAAGGAAGGAGGAGAGTTGGAAGCCCAGCAGAACCAGTGCAATGTACAGTGCCCAGCAAACTCAGCACCATTGCAGCAGTGCCAGCTGATGTCAAGCACAGAATCACAGTCCAAGCTATCAGCTTGCTGGCTTGGTTGTATGATCTGTTAAGCAAGTTTGCTTCAGTCTTGGAGAAAGGGAAGTCTAGCCAATCCTAGAATGCTTTTTTTTATATGCTCAGACTTCCTGTGCCCCCAGTGACTGCAGCCAGAACTGCATTTTAAAGTAAAAGGAAATACATTTGGCTGGATGCAGTATGACCCTGACTTCAAGGAACCCCTTTCAAGGGCCTTCCTCAAGCTGCACTCAGGCCAGAGCACACCACTGCCCCACCCTTGGTACGCCACTGTCTCTATTACCTGTGTAAAAAAAGCCCTCCTGAATAATTCAGTTTTGCATAGGTTGCAGAAAGCCAGGAGAATGGGAGCCTTCCTAACCACATCAGTCCATAAGGTGGGGGCTGCAACAGAGAATGCATGAGCAGTTGTTGATTTTGCTCATTTGCAGGGTGGCACCTGCAGAAGGCCCTGCTCAAATAAGCAAAGCGGTTTTGGCAGAGCACAGGGAGACCGACAGTCCACGGTCCACGGTCATGAAGGGCTTTGTAAGGGATAGCCAATAACTTGAGCTGAGCCCAGGAACTGGT